GCTGTAAAGGCGTTGGATAATCCTCCCTTTGATTCGGATAACGACGTTCATGTCACCATCCGGAGGCGCACGCACCTTCTCTTTGTCTGAGCTTGTGTGCGGCAACCCATAGGCATCTTTTATGACCGCCAAACAAGTGTACAAGTCAATAAAAAGCGACGAATGCACGTAGAACTGACGAAACAGGATCCAGACCGAACTCGTTTTGTACCCGGTTCAGCCAGATTCGACCCAAAAACGTATTTTGACGAGTTTTCACGGGATTTTTTTCTGTTCCAGAGGTTCCTAACTGCTTAGATGTTATCTATAAACATAGTTACATGATTGTCAACTGAGGATAAGGCCAAATCCATCGTTCTTATCCAAAAACCTCCCAACCGAAGCCTATAAATACAGGCCTAGGAGCTCATTTCACAAGGGCGGACATCAACAGGGCGAGGTGCTGCGAAATTGGAGAGTGAAGCACGAATTTCAGAGGGTTAGCAGATCTTGGCGAAGTTCCTCAATAAAAAAGAGAGAGTTTGAGAGATATTAGACCTATTCCCCCTATTCATCCGGATTTAAGCTTGGTCTTAATCCCGAGAAGAGTCGTAATCTCGCTTGGCCGGGATTACCACTTCTGCGAATACTTCCTTTGTGAAGTAGGAGCTTTGATTATCAATCTATCAATCGGATCTGATCCGCAACTGTCCATGGATATTAACGTCCCCGGCACAGGCAAAGTTCCCACGCAAATAGCAGGCGATAAACATCTGCTGTGTGTTGTTTGACAAAGTTGTAATCTTTATTTTCATTCTGTAAGGAGATCTTATAAAAAGATCAACTTTCTTTCTTTTTTGAACTTATTGTAATGGCTAAAATGGTAATGAGTTCATCACCAATGAAAACATCAACTTTTGACCCCAAACAGAGACTAAGTGCTACAATATGTGAGGGTGGTGGGAGCCACCTCTAGAGGCCATAGGAGCCACCTCTAGAGTTCGTATTGCATAGCGATACTGGAATATGCCAATTATCATGACGTGATAAGGATGTTGCCTTTATAAGGTAGGGTGATTGTGATGCCCAAGTGTGGATAGTCCTACATTACAAAATAAGTAAAAATTTTAGTGGCTTAAATAGGTAAGTATAAGACTCAAGTGTAACATCGGCTAGTCGATTTTGTTAGTGAATTGAGCTAAACAACGCGTTACATTTAGTGGGTCACATGGCTTACACGTACCAATAGACCCGGGGTGTGATGCATCATAGTCGAACTTCTTAATATTGTATGTTAAATTAAGTATTGGGTTAATAGGCTGTTACTCGTTAACCTTAATCATATTTGTATGGCTATTTATATCTCTCTTGTTATCTCAATAAACAACAATTAGGGTTTTCTCTATTTTCTACATGGTATCAGAGCATGAAACCCTAGCCGCCACAAATCCTCATTCAAAAACCCTAGCCGCCGCCGCCTCTTCTCCTTGCCGCCGGCACTACCGCCACAATGCCGCCGTCGCTACAGTGTTGCTGCTACAGTGCCCCCCTACAGCGTGCTGCCTATTCCCTCGACATCTCAGTCTTCGAACTGATGAGATGACAATTGTATCCCTCGATATTTCAGTCATAGAACTGATGAGAGGAAGAGTGTCTATCTCACGTTGTTAAGATATTTCACTTTTATTCTTGTTTCATTCAAGAAACAAGATTATAAAAATTGAACCTTTGTGCAAACAAAAGCTAGGGCTCTCTCCCTCAGGTGATCTCGCCTACGCGGCGTGAGGGCATGACTATCTACCACTCTGCCTCTAATCCTACTCCTGATCTGCTCTTGGTTTATGTTTCAAGAACGGATCTCTACTACTAATCTGCCTATTTGACTACTATCTGTCTCCTATTGTTGCTAAAAAAATGACTACTACTTCGATGTCGGACATCTCCTCCTCTACTACTCCTTCTATTGTTGCTGGTGAGACCTCTGCGCCCAAGGTAGTCTTGGGGACTACTATTAAATTGAATGGTGCAAACTATCTGCTCTGGGCACAAGCTCTCCACATCTTCATTGGCGATCAGAGCAAACTACCACATCTACTGGCATCTCCACCCCTCACCACAGATCCTACCTACAATACCTGGCTATCGTCTGATTATTGTGTTATGACTTGGCTTCTCAACAGTATGGAAGCACAGATCAGTAGCAGTGTTATGATCGTCTGATTATTGTGTTATGACTTGGCTTCTCAACAGTATGGAAGCACAGATCAGTAGCAGTGTTATGTTCTTAACCACTGCGAAGGAGATGTGGGACTCTCAACAGTATGGAAGCACAGATCAGTAGCAGTGTTATGTTCTTAACCACTGCGAAGGAGATGTGGGACAACCTGAACATTATGTACGGGAATGAGAAGAATGCCTCCCGTGTATTTGAGATCTAGTGACTGTTTGCACTCAAACAGGGAGATAAGTCAGTTCCGGAGTTCTTTGGTGAGTTGAAGGGACTGATAGATAAACTGAAGATGCATCAACCTGCAGTAGCTGATGCAGCGATGCTGTTGGGATATCACCGCGACCTGGTAGTGTCCAAATTTCTTTCTAGATTACACCCTACTTTATAGTCCCAGGTGAGAGGATAGATATTGGGTGGCGATACCATTCCCTCACTGACTGCTACATTCTCCAGAGTCATGCATGTCTCTACTGGTGTTACTTCTGATACTACTACACCGTCTCCACCTACAATGGATCAGTCTGCCATGTTCTCTAGTCGAGGCAGAGGCCGCGGTCGTGGTCGTGATTCAGGGGGAGGACGTGGCTCCTTTGGTGGGAGACAAGGTGAATCTGATAAGGGCTCACGTTAGTGTGGTCACTGTGGGAGAACCAAACATATTTCTGAGAAGTGTTGGGAGAAGTTTGGTCGACCTCAGTGGGCCCAGGTAGCTGACGCCGAGTCAACTCACTCGTCTATTTCTGCTACTACTTCTGGTGGTCCAATTGTTATTGCTACTATTATTCAGATTTCTCAAGCAGATTATGAGAGGTTACGCCAGCTAGAACTCTCTCAGAACAGTCACTCTGCTACTCATGCATCCTCTTCAGGTATGGATGCTTACATCGCTTCTTCTCACAAACCTTGGATACTAGATTCTGAAGCCTCATCCTATATGACAGGTATAAAGGATCACTTTGTATCTTTACATCTTTCTGCTAAGTTTCCCGCTATCCGGATTGCTGATGGTACACTTTCTCCAGTTCGTAGTGATGGAGTAGTTCATGCTACTTTATCTTTAAAACTAACTGATGTGTTATACGTTTCCAAATTCCCTGTTAGCCTATTATCCATTAGCAAGTTTACAAAACAAAATAACTGTAAAATCACCTTCTTTCCATCTTATTGTGTTTTTCAAGACCTAGCAACTGAGATGACGATTGGTTTGGGGCATGAGCAAGGAGGTATGTACTATTTGGATGACAGTGTGCCAGAGACTGGTCTTGTTGCATCACAGCCTGAATCTACTTTACTGTGGCACTGACGTCTGGGTCATCCTTCCCTACAAAAACTTAGATCGGTAGTTTCTATTAAGCCATCTATTTCCTCTTTAGGTTGTGAGTTGTGTGAACTGGGTAAGCACCATCGTGCTACTTTTCAGAGTCGTGTCGATAAACGCAGTAGCTCTGCATTTGAGTTGGTTCATTCTGATGTCTGGGGTCCTTATCGTGTTCCCTCTGTGAACGGTTTTCGATATTTCATTATCTTTGTTGATGATTTCTCTCGCATGACATGGCTTTATTTGTTAAAACAGAGGTCTGAGGTCTCGCACGTTATTGAGCTCTTTTATAATGAAATAAAAACATAGTTCTCTGCTTCTGTTCGTATTCTTCGTATTGATAATACTTTGGAATATATGAAAAATGATGTTTCAAAATTTTATGCTCTTAATGGTATTATTCATCAAACTTCTTGCTCTCACACTTCATAACAAAATGGAGTTTCTGAGAGGAAGCATAGATATATTCTAGATGTTGCCAGAACACTGATGATACATATGAATATTCCAAAGTATTTGTGGTCTGATGTTGTTCTCACTGCCTATTATTTGATTAATCTCATGCCTTCTTCTGTCCTTGATGGTCTAATACCATTCAATTATCTTCATCCTCATAAAAAATAATTTTCTATGATTCCTCGCGTCTTTGGTTGTACATGTTTTGTTCAGGATTTGACAGTTGGTTTGGATAAGTTGTCTTCTAGATCTATTAAGTGTGTTTTTGTTGGATACTCTCGTACTCAAAAAGGGTATAGGTGTTATCATCCGTCAACCAGGAATTTTTTTGTGTCTGCTGATGTTACCTTTTTTGAGTCTATCCTATATTTTTCCTCTGGTTCTACTACTGTTAGTTGTCCACATGTACCACTACCTTCTTTTGCTCCTACTACTATTCCATTACCTGCTCCTGTGGCTCCTGCACCGAAGCCTCTACTGACATACTCTTGCCGCACAAAAGTACATGCTCCTGACTCTGCTCCTACTGACACTTCATCTCCAATTGCCGGTCCATCTCATATTGAGACTTCTATTCCTTCTGACTTGGATATTCATATTGCTCTTCGGAAAGGTAAACGGTCTTGCCCGAAATATCCGATCTCTCTTTTTGTCTCTTATGATCATCTCACCCCATCTTTTCGTCAGTTTGCTTTGTCCTTATCCACTGTATCTATACCCAGGTCACATGAGGAAGCTATGTTAGTACCAGCCTGGAAGCAGGCTATGGATGAGGAAATGAGTGCACTGCTTTCTAGAGGGACTTGGGATTTGGTCTCTCTTCCTACTGGAGAGACTGTGGTTGGTTGAAAATGGGTGTATACCTTGAAATATCTCCCCGATGGGTCTGTAGACCGATATAAAGCTCGTCTGGTTACAAAAGGTTATACCCAGACATATGGCATTGACTATTTTGAAACCTTCTCTCCCATTGCTCGTCTCAACTCCATCAGAATTCTTTTCTCTCTAGCTGTTAATATGGATTGGGCGATGCACCAACTAGATGTGCAGAATGCTTTCCTTTATGGTGATTTGGACGAGGAGGTTTATATGGAGCAACCTCCTAGGTATGTTGCTCAGGGGGAGAATATTATCTACAGGCTGAGGAAGGCCATCTATGGGTTAAAACAGAGTCCTCGCGCCTGGTTTGATAAGTTCAGCAAGGTTATTTCTAGTGTTGGTTTCTAACGTTGTCAGTCTGATCACTCTGTCTTTCTTCGACGCACAACTACTGGTTTGGTTATTTTAGACGTATATGTTGATGATATTTTGCTAACTGGGAGTGACTCTGTTGCCTTAACTGAGACTAAGGAGTATCTAAACCGTCATTTTGTCACTAAGGACATGGGAAAGCCAAAGTATTTTCTTGGGATTGAAGTTGCATATCAAAAGCATGGCATGTTGTTGTCCCAAAGAAAGTATGTGCTAAATTTACTAGAAGAAACATGTCTCTTGGAATGCAAACCTGCAAACACTCCAATGGAGGTAAATGTTGATTTGTGGCGTGATGATACCTCTTTACTAGATGATGTTGGACGATATAGGAGACTCATTGGGAAGCTAATATATTTGACAGTTACCAGACCTGATATTACTTTTGCAGTAAGTGTACTGAGCAGGTTTATGCACAAACCTAGAGAGGTTCATTGGACAGCAGCTCTGAAGATTTTGGCATATGTCAAAAGTTGTCCTGGCAAGGGATTGCAATATAAGAAGCATGAGCATACTCACATTTCGGCTTTCTCTGATGCTGGCTACGTAGGAGACATGAGAGACCAAAAGTCGACCTTAGGATTTTGTACTTTTGTTGGAGGTAATCTTGTGACTTAGAGAAGCAAGAAACAAGATGTAGTATCACGATCTAGTGCAGAGGCCGAATATAGAGCAATGACTCACACTGCTTGTGAGATGGTGTGGCTACGAAAGTTTATGACAGAGCTTGGTTTTGTTCAGCCTAGACCCATGCCAATGTATTGTGACAACCAGTCTGCCATTTATATTGTACAGAATCCTGTGTTTTATGAGAGGACAAAACATATTGAAGTTTACTGTAATTTTGTCAGAGATGCTTGGGAGAAGAAGATAGTATCTCTCATATTCACTCCGTCCTCACAGCAACTTGCTGATATTCTTACCAATGCTACTTCTTCAAAGGTGTTCTCTACTATATGTGACAAGCTGGGTATGATGGATATCTATGCTCCAGCTTGACGGGTAGTGTTAAATTAAGTATTGGGTTAATGGGCTGTTACCCGTTAACCTTAACCCTATTTGTATGGCTATTTATATCTCCCTTGTTATCTCAATAAACAACAATTAGGGTTTTCTCTATTTTCTACATTGTATTTCACAGACATCTTCTTTGCACACAAAACAAATCACAACCGAGGTTTTGATACCAGATTGTTAATACAAGTACACAATAAGGCAGAAATAATTACGAAGAACAAGCAAGAGAATAAACGACAAGCAATCGCAAACATAGAGATTTATATGGTTCATCCAATTTGGGCTACGTTCATGGCAGAGGCATTGAAAAAAATTCCACTATCAAAAGAGAAAAGAGTACAAAAACAAGGCAAAAACCTAAACCCTCAAACTCTCATTCTTCAATCCTCAAAGAAAAAACTAGATCAGAAAATGGGTATCCAAAACTTGATAGGAGTGAGACCAAAAGAAAAACGAATGGCTGAGATTAAATCATCAAAAACTACAATCCGCGTTGTAACCATCGATGGTCAAACATGACCGTCGATAATCTCCTACAAGCAATCGATGGTTCAAAATCCCCTATTGTTCACTGTAGCCCATCAACAATCGAAGTAACCATCGATGATCTCTCATTGACCATCGATGATCCATTGGCTGTTTTGAACAATCAGATGGTTTTGAGGCATAGTTTTAACAAACTAATTATACCTACCAAACATTTCTAGTTAATATTAAATATTATACACTTATTTAATAAATATCAAACATATTCAATTTTAAATATTTTTAATTTAAATATTGAAATATATGTAATTATAAATATTATTTGATAATTTTTATACTTAATATTATTTAATCTTATTTAATCACTTAATATAATTTATTTAGTTTAATATTAAATATATTTATTATTTAGAATTTCTTAAATTTATAACACTATTTAGATATTTCATATGAATATTAAATACATGGATATAAGAAAATATTAGATAAGAAAAATAGTGAATATGTAAATATAAATAATATTTAAAAATTTATCTAAGAAAATATTAAATGATTTAAATATTCATTTTAATTATTTAATATATTTAATTTTAATACTTTTTAATGAGATTCTTTAAATATATTTAATACATTTAAAATGAAATATTCTTTAACATTTTATACTCTTTAATATTTTTATTATTATTAATCATTTCTATCCTTATTTTAATATTATACATTTAATATTTTAATATATTTTATTTTAAATATATTTATTAATTATCATAATATATAAATAATTTATTAAATATACTATTTATATATTTAATATTTATTTAACTAGTAGATAAGAAATATAGAAAATTCGTAGTATTAAATATAATTAATTCATATATTAATAGTAAAGTATCAAATATTCCATATTAAATAGTTCTATATTTATAGTGAATGTTTGACAAATTGTTGTATTATATTTAATGTTTACATATTTAAATATACATCTTACAAGTAAATTTTAATCTTAAAATTATAATTATAGAAAATTACTAATTAAATAATAATTATATTTTCTTAATAACTTAATAAGATAGTAGGTATGCTTGTTAATAGTTGCTTAACATTTAGTCCAAGAATCCAATCAAAAGCTTAAAAATCGTTCATAAAAGTCGAAGACTTTAACAAAAAAACTCCTAGTCTTAATCAGAATACTAGAATGTAGGATTCTTAGACAACAATCCTAGTATTACAAAACAATCCTGAACAAGTAACACCCCCTAAGGGAATCACTTAGAACATCAAGGCTCCTATCTTTTGCTGGTAGACTACAGTTAATCAAATCAGTTTTGTATAGTATGCAGATTTTTTGCGGTAGCATTCTCATTCTTTTGCTCAAACATAGCTGGGCATTTGTGCTCAAGCAAGACTCAATGTGGGTTAAGCGGATTCATGGAAAATACATTAAAACCTACGATTTCTAGAATATTGAAGCTAGATAACAGTTTTCATGGCAGTTCAAAAAGATCCTAATTAAGACTTATGAGTGGATGCTCAGACATTTACTGGAAAGGAGAGAAGCCTTATTTCAGCACATCACCAGCTTACTCTTTACTTATCAATCCTGGTGAAAAGAAGGCTTGGACAAAATTGGTTTGGAGTAGTTATACTATATCAAAAACATGCTGTGGACGCGTTTGTCTTCAACACGTGGGGGCCACCACGAATCAAAATTACGGCTTCGTGCACGTGAAGAGATCAGGGAATCTCTCTCAGAGCAAGTGCAGCAAGCTCCCAGTTGGGAGTCCTAGTCAGCAAGCTCTCAAGAGCTCTCAACCTTTTTGGAATAAAAAATTAAAAAAGTAAGCCTTGGGAGGCACTCATTCTTTTATGGAGCTCCAACAAGCTCCTAGTTAGGAGCTCCAACAATATCAAAAAAAACCCCTCTTCTATTTTAATATTTTACCCATTACTTTTAATTATATTTAAACCTCTTGTATTTTATTTCTAACCGTTGGATACGGCCTTCGAGGGAGCGCACACGGTCTTCGAGGCAACCCACGGTCTTCGAGGGAGCGCACACGGTCTTCGAGGTAACCCACGGTCTTCGAGGGAGCACACACGGTCTTCGAGGTAACCCGCGGTCTTCGAGGCTGGGCACGAAGTTCGAGGTATCACAAACTTTGACCGTCAACCGACTGATGCCTATAAAATTCGACGGCTTCTCTCCTCAACCCATCATCTCTCAGAATAAAATGTCTAGCTCATCTAGCTCTAGCGATGATGAAATGATAGAGACGTTCTTTCTTATGGGAGCTGCTGTCGTTAAGGAAGAAGAACAAAAGAAATGTTCAACTTCAGTTCAACACAAACGACGTATCGTGCTCCATCGAAACCGACTGGAAGGCCACAATCGGTTATTCCAATATTATTTTGCTGACGCACCAACCTATCCTCTTTATTATTTTCGTCAAAGGTTCAGAATGAGGCGTTCGTTATTCCTTCGAATCCACGACGCAGTCGTCGAACATGACAAGTACTTCGTCCAAAAGAGGAATGGTGCTGGACAGTTAGGACTATCTAGTCTTCAAAAGATTACTGCAGCTATGCGGATGCTCGCATATGGAGCATCCGCTGACTCCGTTGACGACTACGTTCGGATCGGTAAAAGTACGTCGCTTGAGAGCGTGAAGAGGTTCGTTCGATCGATTATCAACATCTTTGGAGAGGAATACCTTCGTGCACCGACTAATGAAGACGTTGCACGCCTGCTCGAGGAAGGCTCACAACGAGGTTTTCCTGGTATGCTTGGGAGCATCGACTGCATGCACTGGACATGGAAGAACTGTCCAACTGCCTGGCAAGGTATGTATACTGGACATTTTCATGAACCCACAATTATTTTGGAGGCCGTAGCTAGCAAAGATCTTTGGATATGGCATGCCTTCTTTGGACTGCCGGGGTCTCACAATGACCTTAATGTTCTACATCGTTCACCGGTTTTCGCACAACTTGCGGAGGGAAGAGCTTCACCGTGCAACTATACTGTCAATGGCCACGAGTATAATATGGGATACTATCTCGCCGACGGGATTTACCCAGAGTGGTCCACATTAGTGAAGACTATTCCAGCACCTCGAGGAAACAAGCATAAGTACTTTGCTCAACAACAAGAAAGCGCAAGAAAAGATGTTGAGCGAGCTTTTGGCGTGTTGCAAGCTCGATTTGCGATTGTTCGTGGACCAGGACGTTTCTGGCAACCTTGTGTGCTGAAAGATATCATGACAGCTTGTATCATAATGCATAACATGATCGTTGAAGATGAACGTGATTGTCAATTGGACAACAACTTCGACTTTACCGATTCGGTACCAGTCGTTGAACCTTCTCATGTGCAGACGGTGCCTCTAACTGAGTTCATTCAAAATCATCATCGGATCAGGAACACGCAAACACACAAATCACTAAAAAATGATTTGATCGAGCATCTGTGGCAGCTTAAGGGATCCATCGCTGAGGATTAAGTTTCTTTATGTCTAATGTAATTTCAGAAAAGGAGTTCTAGTTGTTGTACTATGCCAATTTTATTTTTAATAAAGTAGTTGTTTTCATTCAATGCTAAAATTTTCAATTTCAAGTACAATCATAAATCTAATATAAGATAATATTTGATAATTAGGAAGAACTAATGAGGATGCGATGCGAGTACAATATATGATAATTAGGAAGAACCCTTGGACATCCACCTCTCCAATATCTCTGCCTGACGCATTTCAAAGTATTGTCGTTGAACTAAATTGAGTGTTGATTGGTGATGACGCAACTCAACCCAGCAATGGTCAAACACGAATGGCTTACCATAAAGGGATTGGTATAATTCTTTTACTTCTGCAGTCTACACAAGAGTTAAATTTAGAATAATCAAACATATAAGTTAAATATTTACATAAAAACATATAAGTTAAATATTTACCTGGTCAATAATTCCCGTACCAGATCTTTGTCTTCCTTCAATCTGAGCAACGCACCCGCAGAACTTGTTGACCGACAGTTGAATCGTTGACCAACGGTGCATCATTTGGTTTGGTGTGCGACTCGTTGGATCGGTGGAGTATTGGATAAAGTAGTCGTTAGCTCTGTGC